TGTGACTACAAATCAGATGGAAGACAGAATGTCTCTCTTACTTAGTGTTTCCATTGCTGTGAAAAGACACCATGACCACAGCAACTATAATAAACAAAAACATTTAATTGCAGTTGGCTTATAATTTCAGATGTTTAGTCCATTATCATCATGGTGGAAAGCATGGCACTGTCCAGGCACACATGACACAGGAGAAGAAGCTGAAAATTCTATATCTCAATCCACAGGCATCAGGAGACTACGTCACTGGGACTGTCTTAAACATATATGAGACCTTAAGGCCTGCCTCCACAGTGACACACTTCCTCCAACAGGCCACACCTCCCATCAGTGCCAATCCTTATAGGCCTGGGGGGAGGAGGGCAATTACCTTCAAACTACCACAATACAATGTCCAAGTCAGATTTTCAGTTCCCCTCCTTGAATCACAAAGTACACCACTTCTGCTTTTCATACCGATAAATCTTGCTGCTGTGCCCACTAGCTGACCAGAGGCAGCATTAAACTCAGGGCCAGTATTAACAAAGACTCATTGTGCATATAGGTGAGGGTCAGCAGGAGCCAAGACAGCCAACCTGAACTCCAGGAGGCTGATCCTAGGCCCATTTGTGTGTGTCTGTGTGTGTGTGTTGCTTGAACTTACGTGGATGTAAGTTACATCCTATGTACACACTGTGTTCAGCCCAGCTGGTGTCTTCCTTCCTCTATCACTCACACTAAGGAGACACACCTCCTTGAGGTGTCCTTGAGGTTGTTTCCAGAAAAGTTTGACTGAGGGGAGAAGTCACACCCTAAATGTGGTGGCATAGCCTTATGGAATCTGTCCCAGACTGAATAAAGAGAAAAAAGCCAAGCCAAGTATCATGGCACAGCCTGTAATCCCAGCGTCAAGGAATTCAAGGACTGCCTGAGCTACATCGTGGGTTCAAAGCCAGCCTGAGCTACGTGAGACAGATGGGAGTAGCTGCATTCCTTCTTTTGGTTTCTAATGTAGGAGTTTCAGTGAAAATCCTTCCTCTTCTGCTATCAGGACCACAAGCTGCTCCCACTGCTATGTTGCACCCCACCTTGGTAGATCACCCTCAAATCATGAACCTAACAAATCCTTCTTCTCCTAATTTGCTTGTGGTTGAGTTTCTAGTCATAGCATGCTAAGTTGGAGTACTGGAGAGAACTGCCATAGGAGGCCATCTGCCTTGAGTTGGTAAGCATATAGGAACATCCAGGAAAGAGGATTCAGGTGAAGCAACAAACATAAGGCCATGATTTCCTCCTATTCCTTTCATTATCCAAAGTAACTGTCCCCAACCACTCACTAACCCAATCTCTCATTATTATTCTAGGTAGATAACTCATAGAAATGCTTAGAAGTTCAAGAATAAAAAGGTTCCAGTCTTTAAACATGGAAGTCTCCCTAGCCATTTCCCCATCTATATTCACCTTTCATGTCTATGAAGAGAAAGGATAACAAAACAATCAAAGACAGAGAGCTAAGTGCTTTGTTCCCTGGTCACAGATAGAGGGATGGCGCTTAAAAGAAATCTCAGAGTCAGGCATGGTGGCTCACGGTTACATTATAGCACTTGGGAGGTAGAGAAAGGAGGACCAGAATTTCAAGGTCATCTTTGGCTATGCTGTAAGTTTAAAAACAGCCAGAAATATGTGCCACCTTCTCTCAAACAAACAAAAGACAAAACAAACAACAACAACAACAAAAACAAGCCAATAACAACAGTAAGAACAAATCCCAACAACAACAATAATAATAAACAAAAGAAAATAAAATTTGGGACCTGGGCTCAAGACAGGACTTTTAACACTCTCAGCACCTGGCAGCTTTCCCTTAGGGGAATTCATTTCTTCTCTCATTTTCACCATTTGGAAACTGTCCGGAGCATGATCTAACTAACCGGGAGCATTCAGCATCCACATCACTTAATACCTCCCCTAATGCTGAGTTTCCTATTATCACCTGTTCACTCCCACCAGACAACCATTTCTTTCCTTCAGACCCTCCAGGTCCTGCACTGACACAGACAGATGTAGACACAGAGAGCAGGTAGCAACCCAAACTGACTAAAACCGCACTGCTGAGGAGAGCACTGAAGTGACAAGACTAGAGGAACAGATGAAGCTTCCATGAGCACAAGGATGAAGGTGCCGTGGTAATCCTTTTCATTTGCTATGCCCCCACAACAGAGACATGCTGAACATGTAAATCTGTCTATAAAAGTATCTCTGGGTCTGCAAGTACAATTCTTATTAGAAATTCACTACAGAAATTGATTGAGCATATGGAGTCAAACTGCAAGACAACCATGACAGGAATGCGTTTTTCCTTTATTTTGTTTTATTTATAATCTGTGTGTGTGTGTGTGTGTGTGTGTTCATGTGCATGTGCCTGTGTCTGTGTTGTGTACATGCACATGCCACAGCTCATTGTGTGGAGGTCAGAGGACAACATCTGAGACTTGGTTCTCTCCTTCCACCTTTACGTGGGCTTGGGAGTTCACCTCAGGTTGTCAGGCTGTGTGACAGGTGTCTTACCTGCTGAGCCATTTCACTATCCCAGTGAGCTTCTTTTAGCAGTGTTGTAGAGAAAGTATCACGGTACCCAGTTGCTGCCCAGTGAACACCCTTTCTTTTTTTTTAATTCTATCTTTGGGCAAGCTGATGTTTTTCTCCATAAAAGGGACTTAAACTTCCTTGCTATACAAAGCAAGCAAAACACTGATCTCTTAGTAAAGAGTTGATACTAACGGTTACTCTGGAAGTTGAAGCAGGAAAATAAAACGTGCAAGACCTGACTGGGTTACAGAGTCAGTTCAAGGCCAAGTTAGACAACTAAAAACCTTTTGAAAACTGGAAACCAAAAGAGGGCTAAGATGGGCTGGAGAGATGATTCAGTGGTTAAGAGAGCATCACTGCTTTTGGAGAGAACTCAAGTTCAAGTCCTAGCATCGGGCTCCAGTAGCCCACAGCTGCCTGTAACTCCATCTCTGGAGGATCCAATGCCTCTTGGCTGCTCCTGTACACATACCCCCATTACGGTGTATGTGTCTGTGTGTGTGTATTATGTTCGTGTCTGGGTACATTAGTTACATACACAGACACAAACATAATATGAAAATTAATAAGACAAAATCTATTAAAAAATCTGAGACTATAGTGACTGGGCTCTAGAAGGAGGAAGATGGAGGAGACAATAATAAATTCAGTAAAGAATCAGAAAAAGATTCAATACAGGAACGAGAAAAGTGCTTCCCTCTTCCCACAATGACCATGCCCTAAATCTTTGGGATATATTAATATGTTGTTTCTATTAGTATTAAAATAGAAAATGGGAATTAACACTGCAGATGGAATTAATCAACTAACTTTGAAAGAGGGAAGTTACCCAAAAAAATAGAGTGAGTTTGGTGTGTCACGAAGATCCTTGAATAGTCAAGAAGAGAACAAAACATCAGTGTGGAAGGACTGAAGAAATAGAACCCAGGCAGTGTAGGCTTTGAAGGTGGAAAAAGAGGCATGAACTCAAAAATGTGCTAGAAACTCTACAATAAACTGATTTTCCTTTAAAGTCTCCAGGAAAAGAGAAAAAAAAAAAAAAAAACAAACAAACACCCTGTGGTCATTGGTTACAGCAGCCACAGCACAGGTGAGATCTCATGCTAAAGCAAAACAGCTGTAGGATCATGGACCGTACAACTTCAGAGCACATTTTTGTTGAGACCATAGTCAGAGGTGGGGAAGGTGGGAAGAGTATTCAGCAGGGCAGGGCTGAGCAGTTCCTAAGATGTCCTGACTGTCTGTGAGCATACTCATAATGAACTGTGCTTGAACACATATAGAGACTATGGCTTGAGTTGTGAGCCCCTCATTCATATGTTGACACTGTAGCACCTCTTACACCTAAATTATTTAGGCACAGGATCTTTTCAAAGATAAGCAGGATTAGCCTTAGTGTAATATGACTGATGTGCTTATAATATGAAAACACACAGGCGGACAAACATGGGCAGGAAGGGCATCATAAAATGAAGACAGACATCTACCAACCCCAGAACAAAGTCCATAATAAATCCCTTCCACTGCGCTCAGAGGAAACAGTCCTACAGACATAACTTGTAACCTACACTTGAAACTTCTACAGCTTGAAACTAGAGTTTCGGTTGCCCAAACCCTGATCCCACTCTTCTGTGCCAACAATGAAGGGACTGGAGAAAGAGATTATAATTTGAAGTGGCACAGATACTTCATGAAAGGATCAGTCTCTAGGTGGCTGTGAGTGGAGATGTTGACGGAGGCAAGACCATAATAAATCAGGCAGTTATCAAAGTCCAGGGTCTATCCAGGTCCACTGCAGTGTGCCAGCAGCACCCTGCTCTTTTCCTACAACCACTGGTAAGTGGTTGGGAGAAAGGCATGGTCTCATAAACAGATGAAACTCACATGGGAAAAAGATACTTTACAGAAGGAAGTGACACAAATGAGAGAGAGGGGGGAAAAAAGACGGTAATGAGATTAAGGGACTGATTTTCAAAAAATAAGTAAGAAGAAAAAGATAACAGATAACACTATTGGCCCAGCAAAGGACCGTATATAATTTTGAAACATGAATACTATCTCGTTTAAAGTACCCACAGCCTTGTGCAGTAACTGTAACGGCAATGCCTAATCTGAGGCTGAACGTGCTGAACTCAAGGTACTCATCTGAGGGGCTATGGCCCCAGGATAAATAATTTCTGTGCCCTCATTCTATACCCGATAAGTCCTGGCTGTCTTCAAGAATTTCATCTCTCTTTGCCCAAACTGAAGTTTCCGCATCATAAAAAGCCAGAAGCCACAAGCCACTTGCTCCATAGACATCCTGATCAAGGCACCTTGTAACTAGCTTGGTTCTCACACAGCCAGCCTGGCCATTCCACCACCAGCTCCCTCCCTCCCCTCCCTTCTCCCCAAACTTCAAACCCACCCCAGATGAGATGCAAACCCTGTACCTCTTCTTCCCTCTGACCCTAGAAGCCAGGTAACTACCTTGTCCCTCCTCCGGTCACTCGGATTTCAGATGGAGCTGGCCAGTCAGGGACTGAAAGGGACAGGCGAGGCACAGCAAGGTGTGCTAACCTCAAGGAAAGCCTTTGCAGGCTCAACTTCCTCCCCGCAGTGGGGCGTGGCTGTCCTCAAGAGGATGAAGTCTGGGCGGGCCCCCCACAAAGGGAAGTCTGCGGGCTCTGAGGTTTCCGGAACTCACCACACAGCCGCCAGCAGGAAACCTCGCCGAAATTGTACAGCTTGGACTTGTTGCCGAGCGACACGCTCATTTTCGGTTGCAGGGTGAACAGTGCAAAAGAGAAGTCAGTCCAGGGAAACACGGAGTCCTGATGAAGGCCAACAGCGCCACCCACTGGCAGATCCTGTATCAGCCGTTTCCCCGGGAAATTGAAATTGTGGAGAAGACCCAGACACAGTACCGTACCCAGAGACTTTGCCAGGTGTTACAAGACAATACGGACCACCGCCACGGCAAGACGAAACCTAAGAGTAATAAATGCAAAACGAAGTCCTAGAAATAGGTCATCATATACTCAGTGTGAAGTTTTAGAAATTCGTTATGTTCTAGACCTTCCTTCGTCCTGGGGAAGTGTGGGGAAGTGGAGACACTCCTTTGTCTAAGCCCTCTTGATGTGCAATTGAACCTTAGTGTGTGTTGGGGGGGGATTAAAATTCCTCTGGTAGAGTTATTTCATCAACGCGTTTTTAAAACCTCAAAACAAACAAACAAACAAACAAACAAAAAAGGTCAGTCCTGGGGCACACTGCTTTGACACTATTTCAAAGACATTTGACATAAAGTGAGGCAAACGATTCATCTTCTTACTTTATGTCAAAGCGCAGAGACCCCGAGAGAGGCAGCCATGCCCCACGCTTTACCTGAAAGCTTCCCTGCGAAGAAGAGGTGGCCAGAGAAGCTCTGAGGGAGCTGTAGTCAGACCTGAACCGCTGCAGTGGGGCCTGCCACCTTCAGCAGGACCCCTCAGGTACTGAGGAGCAGTGGGCGCAGAGAAATTTAAGCCAGGCAAGGGAATACTCGGGACCCAGGTAGGAGAAGAGTTTAGGCTGGTGCTTTATGAAGTCCCTTACCACACTGAGGATGACTGGGGACGTTGAAGGAAAGTTTTGTAAGGAAAAAAAAAAAAAAAATATATATATATATATATATATATATATATATATATAGCAGGTATTATACAATCAGCTAAAGGAAGGGGGAAAGATATCAGCTGTTGCTCTTGGTGTGACCTCGTGTTACCTCGTGTTAGTACTGGCATGGTGTAGCCCAGAGAGTGTTGGTTGTAAGTAGACACCCATATACGAGTTGCTTCAGCTTTATATTCTGTGTTAGCTCAGGTTGTATGATAGTTTCCTATTGCTGACTTAACAAATTACGCAAATGCAGTTGCTTGGCTAACACAGACATACCCTGTAGCTCTAAATGCCAGAAGTTCAGCAAAGGTCTCCTTGTACTAAGACCGGCTTGTAGGTATTCCTTTCTGGGGAATCTTAGAAAAGATAGGTTTCCTTGCTTTTCCAACACCTAAGACATCTCCCACGCTCATTGGTTTGGTCCAAACTCTTGCCTGCTGTGGTCATTGTCCACAGTAGAACATTGTTGCTGGGGTAAGCGTCCAACTCTGGGCGTTCTCAGCACTGAGGACCTTCCACAAGGCAGCTTACTCCATAACCCTCTCTTCCACCATCACAGCTAGCTAGGCAGTTTCAGTGCTATCGGTCAAACCCAGCACCTCAGATACACTAGGAAGTGCTTTACTACTGAACTACCTTCTCAGCCCTAGTTTTCTTTGGGGAGAGTGTTGCTGGGTGAGCAGTGAGTTAGGGAATTGGAAAGGGCAGATTCTCAAGGAGGCCACTTAATGCTTTCAAGACAGACATTTCAGCAAGCATTACTCAAAATGCTTATACTGTTTAGATGAAAATGAACCAGATGAGCAGCTTGGGGCTCTCATATGGTCCTGAGGCTTAAGTTTAAATAGGGGACAGTAATTATACATCACTGTGCCTTCCTGGCCTAACACCAAAAAGGGCAATATTTGGTTAGCTATCCTCTCCTGCCTCATAAAGCCATAAAAGCCATAAAAACCAAAAAGGCTGTTTTGGTTACACAAAACAGCCTTTAATTGACTGCAAGATTAAATCAACAGAAATAAAATGTGTTTATGTCTTTTTGTTTAGGGCTGAGGATATGGAGTGTCGCATGATCCTAGGCAAAAGACAGGTTTTATGCTCGCCCGAGTAAAGCAAAGGCTTGTTACAACTGTTCTTTTGTACTTTCTCATTCACCTGCCTCGCCTTCTATTGAGGAGCACTGTCCTTCCCCCGGATTCCGGTTTTCATCAGAAGTTTTTTTAACCTTTTTACTGGTGTCCATTTGATTCCTGTCTGGGAAGGTATGCCTCATAGAAAGACTGGGGGATTTCCTAGTTATTGTGACAGAGACTCACTATGGGTGCCCTTGAAATCACTGGGAACCTATGCTGTCATATGCTTGTGATCCTCCTGCTTCAGCATCCTGAGTATTGGTGCTACAGAAGAACACAACCACACCTGCCACATATGTGTTCGACCTTTCTTTCATTGTTATGCATATCTAAGGGGGTGGGGGAGTCATGTCTTAACAAAACCAAAGACCAGAATGGCTCAGATATAAAAATGCTTGTTGCCAAGACTGATGAGCAGGTTTCAACCTCAGCTCCCACACTGGAGGAGAGAAACAACTCCCGCAAGTTGTCCTCTGGCCTCCACATGCATGCCCCATACACATGCACACGCACGCACGCTCTCACACTCAGTTACACTAATAAGAAAATTAACGTAATTAAAATGCTTTTAAATGAATCAAAATAATTTATGCACCTTATCAAAGCATAGTGGACAAACATGAAAAATGTCAACAAGAAGCAAAAGTACAAAAACCTCACAAATAGGTGCAGACTGAACACTACATGAGCACTACATTCTTAAATGACCAATGGGTCATGGACTAAAAATAATAATAATAATAATAATCTTTTCCTCTGCAGCTCACAGAATCTGTGACTGTGTAAGTCTGGATCATCAGTATTCCATCACGCACTGGAGAGGGGGATTAAAAGGCTCATGCCACCTCTGAGAAGCTATAAGCAGATAACAATTTCTGGAAGAGTGAGAGACCTTTTCTTCCCCGATGTAACATTGGTTAAGGCACCCGTGTTCCTGTAAACCACACAAGTTCTGCAAGCAGCCAAAGTGACACTCACTGGATCCTACACACACACAACACGACATAAAGTAAGATTGTTAGTATTTATTTAAAAACGATGCCACTTGTCCAACAGATATTATACGAAAGAGTTTATTGAGGGGAAGGAAAGCAGAAGAGAGTCAAGGCCTGAGTGAGCCATGAGGTCAGAGAGACAGAGAGAGAAAAACAGAAGTGGGGGTGGGGAGCAGAAGCCCTGACAGAGAAAGAGGAGAGAGAATGGAAACAGGAGGGCAAGACAGCAGAGAGAGAGCAGGTGAGAGTGGCACACCGGTTATATCCGAAGCACCTGGCCCAGGTGATGTCATAGGACGTTGTCAGGACCCTAAAGGCCCCTAAGGGCAGGCCAGTTGAACAACACAACAAGATTAGAACTTACTGCGAAGAAAAAAATAGAAGGGGACAAGAGAAGATAATGGGGCGGAGGCACAATCAAAGCACATTATGTTCACCTGAAATTGTGAAAGAATAATTTTCTAAGGAACCTGAACATTTCCAGACAAGCCCCTTTATGGTTTGCTGCTCTGGAACGCTGAGAGGCTGCACACCGAACCCCTTCACTTCTCTGAGGTCTTGATTCAGATGTCCCCTTGGCAGTAAAGCCTTTGCTGACCACCCTACACCGCCACATCTCGGTACATCCATCATTGTTACCCGGCTCCGTCTCTCAGGATTCACCGCTCCCAGACAAACTAGCCATTATTTCTCCTCTTTCTTTCCTAACCCCATAGCACAGGATGTACCCTGTCTTGCTCACAGATATACCCCACAACTTAAATAATACATGGCATGTAATAGTCACACAGTAAATATCTGTAACAAGGGTAGAAGTCAGCAATCCTTGGCTTACGTTTCCTTCTGGTGTAAAGTGTAAGGTGCAGTTGTAAGAGGTTTTGGGGCAATTGGTTTGACTCTTTTCTCTCTCATACAATGTTTCTAACTTAGAAGCACATCTATTGCACATCTCATCAAATTCTCAGCCCACCTTACTGTCTACCACAGTGTGCCTTATCCTAGCTTTGACTTCAACATAGTGATAAGTATTCTTCAGCAGACAAAAAAAAACAGTCAATTCAAGCCAAGTTAGCATATATAAATTCAAGTTTATTTTGGGCATCTCTCGGTGCGCGTAGAGAGAAAAAGAGAGAGAGTGAGCACAAACTGTCTGGATTATACAGTGAAGAGCCTCTGAAGGAGAGGAAATCCCACCCATAGGATGGAAAGTTCAGGATAAAGGATGGGTATGCCAGGCATGCTCTGTAACAGGGAGGGACTGAGGGATGCTGGGAGAACACAGAGGCCAGGTCCAGGTTTGGTATTATGTTCTTGTGGAATGTATACAATTTACCCTTGTTCATTCAAATGCTGATATCTCTACCCCACTATCTGGCTTCAATCTGGACATTGCATTGTGATGCTTATTCTAAGCACCACCTGTCTCAAGTGTGTGTAAATATGCCACCATTTGTTCTCTGGATTTTTAATAAAACAACCAGCCAGTGCTATGCAATGGAGAGAATAGGGTGGGACATCCTGGTCCAGAGAGAAAGAGAAAGAAGTGAGTGGGAGAAGTCAGAGAGGAGAGATCTGCAGGAGAGGACTTGGAACCATGGGGAGAGATAAACTGGACCTAAGATATGACTAAAAAGCAAGTAAAAGGTGGAAAATCTGAATGGGAGGAAACTATGCAGGTTTGGAGGTTTAGGATGGAGTAATTATTGTCCAGCATTGTGCTCTATGTTAATTAAGTCAATCCTAGTCTCTCTGTGTCGTGATTTGGGTATACAGCTGGTTTAGAAATAATTGTTGCTTAACTAAAAGATAAATTGATAGTAAAT